CTATCACAGAATAAAATGAAACATTCACTCCAACATTTCCATTCAACCTATTGTGAAATCCCTCAACATCATTATTGTTCTGATTGCACATGATAGATAGACCAACATTTTGTGACCAAACATCATTCAAAATCCAAGTTCTTTCAAAATAATCAATAAAATCAGCAAGTTATCAATTGATTTAAGGTAATCCTTAATTTTAATAAACTCTATTGGAATAATGTGAGATGGAAGGAATGGCAAAGCCATTAGCTGTCTCATTTCAAACCATTGTCCATTTTTTTTTGTTGAAGTCTGTAGAATAACCAAGCTCCTAAAAAAACAAAATTAAAAATGACTCCAGTTTGAGTTTAGGTTGAATAATACCTGAATTTTTCTATAAACTGCTTGATTCCAATGGAATAACCATCCTGACAGATTTACATTTTCCCAATTATTTAACACAGCTTTCCAAATAGCTTTTTCAAAATCCATAATTATCTTTTTTGGTTCCTTATATTGTAGCAGTTGATTAATGCACTGAAAAACAGTGAAATGAATATTAAATGCATTTCAGAGAAAATTTCAAGTTGAACTACCTTGAATAACAGATTATATGCTTTTTTCTTTTTTGATGACATGAATGCATATAGAAGAGGAACCTGTTTTAATTCACCTTCTTTTTTGAGGAATGAGTGAAATGAAAATAACTGTGTAAATGGGTCCTTAACAATCTTGAAAGTTCCATCTAAGTACCAGACTTTTGACACTGCAAGTAAGCTAAGTTGTTTTGAAGTGGAAAAAATAATCACTCTTTCATTATTTTCAAGGACATCTTTCTTTAAGAAATCATCAGGAATAAAGCAATTATTAATAAGAAAGTTTCTTCCAATAGGTTCATTGGGACGATATTTTCTTCTATGATAATTTATCATTTCTTTGCAATTTTCAACTTGTACAATATTTCCCATATTTGCAAAAGGAAGCAGAACATTTTCAGCTATTCGTTTTCCACTAACATTGGTGCCAGTCTTTCCTTTTTGTTTTGCTGTCACTTTCATTTCAATAATTTGTTCTAAATTTTTTTTGGGAGGGTGAATATGATATTTAGACCCCAAAGAGAAGTTATTATTTCTTTGAATGACACTGGCAGCATTTTCTTGCTTCTAACTCCACATCTCCAAATTATGGAAGTCTTGTCTTTTCTTTTGACAACAAATGAGTGACCATTAGATACAAGTAATTCTTTGCCTTTTTGACTTCCTGTAGGGAATATTCTGAATTTACCATTGCTGTCATAGTTCACCTCTGGTATACTTTCAAAGGACTCCTCCATATTGATATCATTCTCATTCAAATGTAATGTATTTCCATGCAGAGGGCTGCTTTCACTAAGATTATCAACAAGCCTGTACTCTGCATCACAATTCAGTGTTTCAATAAGGGTAACCACTTCTTCATGATCAACATCCATTATTATATTTTGCACATCTATCTCTTCTCTTGTATGATTTAGATCTATATTTTCAGCATTTGAGACTTTATTGGTAGATTTATCTTGTAAAATTTCATCACATTTGCTCAGAATAATTCTGATTTTTTTTTTATCAAGACTTGAACATATAGAACATAATCCATCTACAAAAGAAAGAGCTTAGTTTACATTAAAATCAATTTGGATCTTACCTGATAAACAAGCCCAATGGACTTTATGATGACAAAGTGAACAAACACATTGCTTCAGCTTATTAATCTTTTTCTTACATCCAAAACAATATGGTAGCATTGTGGCAAAAATCTCCTTTGAGCTGCTTTAACCTATTGGCAGGAATTTAAAAATAGTGCAAAATATTCAACCTCTTAGGAAAAACTGGTGGACAATTTAATATTTTTTCATCCAATATTTACTAACTAATAGAAAAAAATTTTAAATTAACTTATTCTATTCAATTTATGAGTATTGTATATTTCGAAATTTTGTGGCCGTTTTCTGTCTCAGTTGGGGCTGTTTTCTGTTCTGATTGGGGCCGTTTTCTGTTCCGGTTGGGGCCGTTTTCTGTTGGGTCCGTTTTCTGTTGATCCCTAATAATAATGGTCTACCAATTGTATCTGTTTCTCTATGATTCATTGCAAGTTTAGAAAGGGAAATATAAAAGTTCAATTCATTGAAAAGAATGTATTGTTGCAACTAAAAATCTTTGTGCTGAAATTGTTGGTATCATTGTTAACATTATATTAACCAGGAAGTTTAATTTAAAATAAATGTTACAAGATAGTATCTATGTTTTGTATTGTGAGTTTGTTTCTCAGCTATATCATTCTGATTTAGCTTGTGATATGATATCACGTCAAGCTGACCAATCGTGATATGAACACAGATTCATATACACTAAACATAATTGACACACTCTCACTTCTCTTTGTTTAAACATTCATACTAACTCATATTGACATACAACATTGCTAACAAGATTTTTTTTTAATTTTATAGAATAATTACAAAAAATCAATTTGTGTTGTTTATGCCCAAGATCTTCTTTGTCTTATTAATAATTGACTTCTAACACATTTCATTATGAAAACACTATTACTAGCCAAACTTCTTGTAATTCCATACATTCCAAATGTTGAACTATCACTTACTAAGGCTTCATTACACTGTCCCAAGAGAAAAAATTCTAGGTATATATTTAATATTAATTGGCAAGAGATATTTTTATCCCTGAAGTGACTTGGTGTGCCTTCCACAAAATATATTGGATATTTATTGATGCTCTTTATATAATGTTTCAGGATAGGACTGTCCAGTGTCATGAATAAAATTGATGAATTATCTCTTTCAACAGAGGTAATATTTTCGATGTTTAATGCTTCTTGAATGCATTTTTCAGTCCATTTCCTTTTGTGATAATATTCTGTCCATCCAGTTCTTATTTGAATACATTTGACAGTTTTATACTTCTCAAAATGTTTTTTATGTATCTGAAGCCTTTTTAAAAGTAATCCCTTTGGTTTAAACAATTTCTTAAAGTATGGTAAAAATATAGCTTTATTTGTTCCACATTTCTTGAATTTTTCAGTTTTAAGTTTAAGTTTAACCAATGTTTCTCTTCTTAAAAAAAAATTGCCACTTTTCACAGCAAAAATTGTGTCCTTATTATCCATTAATTCTTCAATAATGGATACATTACAATAAAAAAATGAATAAATATTAGGTGTATAATTTCCCAATGCATGTGTCTCAATAACTTGAATTGAGTTAAAACTAAAATATGTATCCATGGAGCAGTCTTCTTTTGGAATATTTGAATAAATCAATACTGTTCTATTTAAGATTTCAGATAGAATATTACAAGCTACTAATGACCTTATCGTATTAGCCAATCCATTTTGTGGCAAACATAAAACATATAATTTCATTCTATCAAAATTAGTAAAATTAATCTGTTTGAAAAATTATTGTCAATTCTTTTTGATTATTTTCTTGTTATATTTAATTTTTAAATACCTCATTTAAGTAAAATTCCCTTTCATCATCAATATTATACTGATAGATATATTTTTTCAGTAAATAAGCAGAAGAAAATGTTAGAAATCATCATTTCATCATCTCTAATGATATATGGCAATCAGTTCAGAAGTGATTCAACATTTTGAATAATATCTCTAAACCATTTTTCAAAAAAAAAATTAATGTAGATGTTTTCTCCTCAGTTGTGGACATTTTCTTCTGTAGGTGTTTTCTCTATAAACCGTGATAGGTTAGATGCAATACAATCTTTGGATATATACCAAAAATATTGCTCAAATTATGATAAATGTGGGTGAGTCTAAATAAAAAATTCACTTTTAATAGTATGTGAAAGTGTGGTGAGGTACCATTCACAATTTAGTAATACTTCTTTTTGGTGTTTTAACACAGGCTTATTCGTAATTAAGGAAGTAAATAATCATTAATTAAAAGTTATTCCAAAGAAAGTAAATTTGTTATCTCTCTTTTTGGCGTGTTATCTCTAGCCAATAACAAAATACTGCAATTAGATATAGAATATATTACATAATATAAAAATGACAGAATAATTCAAACATGACCAACATTTCATCTCTCAACTGAAATAGAGAGCATCAAACATTTGATTAATTGAATTTTCTTTTATTAGGGAATTATAAAATGATGATGAAGATGGTGATTTCAATGTCTTTATCATTTTTTGGTAAATTATAATATTTTCAAGTGAGTAGTATCAGTTAAATTTCAATATTATTTTTGTTTTGTTTTATAGTTTCTTCCCTTGCAACTAATGTTTGCTATAACAAACCAAATGGAGTTCATTTACGTCAAAATTGCAGTTTTTATGTACAATGCTATAACAGACGTGAAATTCCAGTTTTCTGTTCCTCACCAACAGTTTATAATCATATGAAGAGGAAGTGTGACGGGTAGGCTGTTAACCCTTTCCTAAACACCCTAAATTCTCTTACAGTTTTCAAGTTAGTCCTCCTCCCTGTGGACGAAACAGAAATTGCAGAACTCTACTCAATGGATATTATCCTAATGTTGGTGATACGTGCAGAACAATGTTTGTCTGCTATGCCTATAGAAATGTAGGGACACGCTACTGTTTAAATGGTATGTAAAATGCTAGAAACTGGAAAAAGTTTACACAACTCAGTATTTTTTTTAAATAGGACAGGTTTTTAATGTATACCGGAACAGTTGTTACAGTCAATACGAAACACCATTACCCTGTGGAAGAAGCTACACACCAACAACTGGTTTGTCATTCTATTTAGATTGAGTTATCTCTACTCAAATAGATAACAGTTCATGAATATATATTTTTATCTTATCTTATCTAAAAAGAGCAGCATTTTTGAGAAACTGTAATATAGGCCTAAGATTATTAAGAGTGGAAGTGAATTTTCGTGACCACATATTACCTAATTTTTTATTTTGACTTTTCCCTTATTACTTCTGTAGTTGACCCAATATCAAAAGATCAAAGGAATAATGCCAAAATAATTAGTAAGTTTGTTTTTTAAAAATGATGATAATGAAAATAATTCCTAATGTTTATTTTTCTTTTTCAAAAAACAGTTATAGCAGTCTCAGTTGTTACAGTAATACTTATTGTTAGTGGTGTTTGCTGTAAAAAACAGTAATTAAAAAATACCTTTTCAAAGTTTATACTATTCTAACTTCTTTTCTTACAGCAAATATGAAATTATTGCTGTAACAACTTATTTTCGTAGACGAAGATGATGGTAGGGCTTCTAACATTTGAATTATCTCTATCAAAATTTTGATTATTACATTGGTATTTTTAAGTGTAAAATGGAGTGAAATTTTTACAAGATATGCAAAAGATTTTTGACCTACATATTATGCTATCTTTATTGATTTGTCAAATATTCTCTAAAATTGATTATAATATATTTATTTCTAGTCTTAAGTCTTAGGCTAGTTTATTCTGAGCTGTTAAAAGACCTCAATTCTTTATTTTTTTTTTAAAAACTCTATTAAATAACACCAATACGACAGAAAATGTCCCCAAATGCAAGGTTTAACCCTAACCCTTGTCTCTCTCTAACCTTTTTGATTACCCGTAACCCTTAGATGGAACCCCTCTAACTACAAATCAAAAGCTACTTTACTCCTGCTAACCATTTTTTAATCCGAAATCTTGCTCTCAAAAATCTCACTTGGGAATGTTTTCTGTCGGCCCCCACCAATGGATTGGTTCTATTCAGTAAACTGATTGCCTGATGTTTATCCAGCATCTTTCTTTATTGACTTGCTTTAGAACATAAGTGATTGGTTGTTCTTGGAAAACTAGCTTGTTGAGAACATTTGTTGTTGAGAACATTGCTTAGCTATAGCTAATTCTCCCATTCAACCACCGTGCATTCCAAACTGATTTGGCAATAGAGGTCAGTTGAGGATCTAAATTTGCAAGTAGTGCTAGCATTCTGCTTCTTTGAACAAATTGATTATATAGAAGGTTTGTCAGTTGTTCAATAAATTATTTTAAATTCTTAAAATTTGAATCAATTCCATGTCATAAGGTACATGTAATATGTAATATGCTACTTAATTCTTTTAAATAGATAGTTGATTATCTTCAAAGGTTTCAAAATATCATTTACCTCAAGCAACCAATTAATTCTTATCTTGTCGTCTGCTTGTGTTGTTTAACTGGGGTACTCGACTCTACTCATCTGTGATGCCACATTTTTGATTTAGCTTGACTTGTGTAACATGGAATCAATTCAAGCTGACCAATAATGATATAAATCCAAATCATTTACCCTGAAAACATGTTACACACTCACTCCTTCTCTTTCACATACAATCGTACTGACTCAAGCTGACATCCAACAATGATTCATATTTATAAAATTTGAACAATTTTATAACCATTTTTGTTAATCACTCAAATGCAGACAGCATTGACAAAGGTAGGCAGTATTGACCTAGTTTTGAACTTGCTTATTGGTTCTGATTAATTTCCATCTCTAATTGAGTGAATAGTATAGAATTAATTATGTACTATCGGATTTCTCATATCCACAAGTGGTTACCCTTCTTAAACTGTTTTTGTCAGAGGATAATGGTTAGAAATTTCCTATAACGAAAGAGATAGCCGGAGAGCAGGATAACAAAGAAATTGTACAAACTTGCAATACAACCATATGAAATAATTTACATAAAGAATAATGAGATAGACTGGTAAGTATTCTAATAGATATAACTTTTGTGTTTGTCAGCCATATTTGAAAGTGAATA